AAATCCAATGTGGTTCAAACAGCACTGTGGTAAGTAGAGGGTGAGGGATGGTTTGTGGTTAATTTGTTTTGAGGATCTATGATGCAGTCACAATCCGCACATAGCATTCAACATTGATTTCCCTGTGCCAAATTCATAATAGCATTTTCCAAAGAGGATTCCTAATTTTTTATGTGTAATTTAAAAAATTGAGGTATAATTTACCTTTAGTAAAACACACAGATGGTTCTGTTTGATGAGTTTTGACAAATGTGTACTTGCATAACCAACCCCCAAGTTAAGATAGCGATTTCTATCATCTCAGAAAGGCTTTTCATGTCCCAATGGGTGTGTTTTATTATATGTAATTTATTCTCCAATAAAGTTGGTTAAATACTGTTCATGAAATACTTTACCTGACATAGCAAAGTCATGATGGGGACTTTGCTAAGTAACAAGATTTATGTATAAGTGCCTCGTTTAAAGTAGGCATATCAGATATTTCATTTTTATTTCAACATAATTCTCTAACATTTGGGAAGGCACTTAGAATAGGAATCTGCAGAGAAAAACAGAGAAATTCTGCTGTGATTGACTAGGTTAAGTGAATTTGCAACTTTTTTTTTTTAACTAATAGTAGTTTCCTTTTAAGTAATCACTTTCATTCTTTAAAAAGAAAAGAAAAAACAAATTAAGAAATAATAACAGGCTAGACATGGTGACTCACACCTGTAATCCTAATACTTTGGAAGGCCAAGGCAGGTGGATTGCCTGAGCTCACAAGTTAAAGACCAACCTGAGCTAGAACAAGACTCCATCTCTAAAAATAGCTGGGCACTGTGGCAGGTGCCTGTAGTCCCAGCTACTTGGGAGGCTATGGCAAGGGGATCACTTGAGCCCAAGAGAAGTTGCTGTGAGATATGATGCCATGGCACACTACTGAGGGTGACAAAATGAAACTTCATCTCAAAAATTAATAATAATAACAACATAATTTACCTTCATACCGTTAAGAAAAATGAAAGTTTATTACTTTATCTTTTCAAAATATTAGGATGGAAATACAGATGGAAAAACTAGTTGATCTCTGTTCAATTGTTTCCATAAAAACTATTCTTTTAAAAAGAGTACTTTTAGGCTTGGTGCCCGTAGCACAGTGGTTAATGGCGCCAGCCACATGCACGGAACATGGTGAGTTCGAGCCCAGCCCTGGCCAGCTAAACAACAATGACAACTGCAAAGGAAAAGGCATTGTGTCAGGAGCCTGTAGTCCCAGCTACTTGGGAGGCTGAGGCAAGAGAATCACTTAAGCCCAAGAATTGAGGTTACTGTGAGCTGTGACAACGGCACTCTACCAAGGGCAACATAATGAAACTGTGTCTCAAAAAAAAAAAAAAGTACCTTTAAAAAATATTTGATATGTTTTATGTTACTGAAAATAATTCTCAAAAATATATTAGGAAAAAATAGTAATAGAAATTGGTTATTTCTATTAAAAAATTAATTTGTTTCTTAAATTGTTCTTTGTGGTTTTTCTCCCCAGCTTATACCATTGCTAAGTATGGTATGTCTATGTGTGTGCTTGGAATGGCAGAAGAATTTAAAGGAGAAATTGCAGTCAATGCATTGTGGCCTAAAACAGGTAAGCATTTGCAAAAATTCACTTATTAGATTTTTACTTGCTGTTCTGGACACTTCTGAGGTACTTCCTGGGTGTGGTGAGGTGGGAGGGAGGAAATAGTCAACAGTAAATCTCTGTTGGAAAACAAGCTAAATTTTGTTGTACAATAAGACACTTTTGAGCTTTGACATGGACTGCGTGACTGAGTCTTCAGCTAGTAGCTCTAGTACAGAGGTTCTCAACATTCTTAATGCTGCGTGGCCCTTTAATGCAGTTCCTATGGGTCACGACCCACAGATTGAGAACCGCTGCTCTAGTAGGGCCGTTGACCACCAGGACATTTGAAGAGTCTGCTGAGGACCACCAGGAGACATTGCACTTCCCTGACCCCATCTCCAGCTTTGTCTTTGGAACCTCCCTGAATTCTGCAGATTCCCACGCTTTTGTTTTCTCCTCACACCTCCCAGCAAAGGCTTTTAAACTTCCTAGTATTCTTGCTACCTTTGTCTTTTTCCTTTATAAATAATAAGATTACCTGTACTTTGGCATGAATTCTTCTAGGTTCACAGAGTGCGAGAGCCCTGTGAGATGACAGAGGAAGCTGCATATGCCTGGGATGTGGGTACAGATTTATAGTCATGGTGTAACACAAGTTGGCGGCGTCCATGCTGGGAACAAGATATAAAAATGAAGGGGAGCTAGTAAAAATGAGAAAAAGGGAGTGGGTATCTTTCTTTTTTTTTTTTTTTTTT